TCTAGACATGCCAAAAATTTGACGCTACAGCACAGCAGCTCTTCTTCTTGGTTTTCTCTGATGCACTAACTCTGCAGCAGCACTTCTTCTTCATCGTCTCGTCTGATGCACTCACTCAACCAAGCGTTCTAACCACAACCTCCCCCCTCCCCACCCCCCAACCATTCGAATTTCAGTAGGCGGGAATTCTTTGTAATGAAATTCTAATGAGCCGCTTTGTGATATCATAAAGCCCGGAAACCAAACGCTGTAGTCCAAACGAGCCGTTTGCTGTAGTTCTTGAAAATTGATTTTTTAAAAACTAAATATCTCCATTTGGAGTGGACTTTGAGATTTGTAACTTTCTAGATCTTTTTTATGCCCAAACATACACACTGCACACTGACTAAAATTTAAAAAAGTGAAAAAGCATAATAGGACCCCTTTAAGTAAATTATACAGTCTTATAAATATATATTTAAAGGGGTCATGTGATGCGATTTTAAGTTTTCCTTTCTCTTTGGAGTGTTACAAGCTGTTTGTGAATAGATAAGATCCCTAAAGTTGCAAAGACTAAAGTCTCAAACCAAAAGAGATATTCTTTATAAAAGTTAAGACTCGTCCACGCCCTCCTAAAACGCCTCGTTCAAACATGCCCCCACATGTCTACGTCACTGTGTTGGAAGATTTGCATAACACCTCCCAAATATTCATGCAAAGAAAGAAGGCATAACTTTGATTCTCGCTGTGGTATCGTTGCCGCCACCGTCATGTCGTGGAGACGCTGTGTGTTTCGTTGTGAAACCGAAACTACTTTGTTTGGCCTTCCAAAAGAGGACATGACTAATAATCAGTGGTTAAGTTGTATTTACAACACTGTTCCAGAACAGTTTAACCCATATATTCGTGTGTGTGTGCAATGCATTTTACAGAGGACGAGGACTGTTTCCTGGGAGAGTAGCCCACAATGCCGGTTTTCTAACAAATAATGCTGACTCAGCCTGTAAGTACGTTTTCATATTTAAAGGATCTGCCACTGATGATTCAAACGCGAGTTTTGGGCAGTGTAGAGTAGCGCTTGTTGTTTGTCGTTTCTCCAATCACAAATGCAGACATGGTTTTATGTTTATGCGGCACGATGCAGCGCAATCCGTAAAAGGATAGTATAAGTAATTATAATCAGTAATTATGTCCCCACTGGATGCTACAAATGCCTCTTTTGTAATGGGTTTTATTGGTTTTGTCTCGTCGCACCGGGACATGGCATCACAGTATGGTAAGCAGCGTAACATTTTCGTCACATGCTTGAGGTTATTCTGTCAATCACAATGCACTGGATAGCTGGCCAATCAGCGTACACCTCGCTTTTCAAAACGATGAGCAATGATGAAAAATCGACACGTTTCAGAAAGGCGGGCATAGAGGAGAAACAATAATGTACAGTATGTGGAAAATAATGTGTTTTTTGAACCTTAAACCGCATAAACACATTTCATTACACCAAACACAAAATAATGTTCATTTTAGCAACATCATATGACCCCTTTAAGGTTCAAAAAACACATTATTTTCCACATACTGTACATTATTGTTTCTCCTCTATGCCCGCCTTTCTGAAACGTGTCGATTTTTCATCATTGCTCATCGTTTTGAAAAGCGAGGTGTACGCTGATTGGCCAGCTATCCAGTGCATTGTGATTGACAGAATAACCTCAAGCATGTGACGAAAATGTTACGCTGCTTACCATACTGTGATGCCATGTCCCGGTGCGACGAGACAAAACCAATAAAACCCATTACAAAAGAGGCATTTGTAGCATCCAGTGGGGACATAATTACTGATTATAATTACTTATACTATCCTTTTACGGATTGCGCTGCATCGTGCCGCATAAACATAAAACCATGTCTGCATTTGTGATCGGAGAAATTACAAACAACAAGCCCTACTCTACACTGCCCAAAAAACTCGCTTTAAATATAAAAAAATATAAAATATAAAAACTCTTTAAATATAAAAAACGTACTTACAATCTGTGACAGAGGCAGGGGGCTAGAGTGAGGAACGGCCGGAGGGCTAGAGTGAGCAGAGGCGGCAGGCTTGATAACAGTGCGGCCTGCGGATTCGACGAAGGACGCTTGCGGCAACCACATGTGATGACCCCGGGCTGGACTCCGCTTCGTCCACGGTGAAAGCCGATCCGGCGATCCACAGCTCAAAGTTGTTGTATTTCCTCAGCAACCAGCACGGATCAGCTCTAGGCATGAGGAAGCAGATATCGTCCTCTTTTGGAAGGCCAAACAAAGTAGTTTCGCTTTCACAACGAAACACACAGCGCCTTCACAACATGGCGGCCGCAACAATACTACAGCGAGAATAAAAGTTACGCCTTCTTTCTTTGCGTGAACATTTGGGCGGCGTTATGCAAATCTTCCCAGATAGTGACGTAGGTATGTGGGGGCGTGTTAGAACGAGCCGTTTTAGGTAGGTGTGGCTGACTCTTAACTTTTATAAAGAATATGTCTTTGGATTTGAGACTTTAGCCTTTGCAACTTTACAGATCTTCTTTATGCACCAAGAGCTTGTAACACTCCAAAGAGAAAGGAAAAATGTAAATAGCATCATATGACCCCTTTAAACCGCATAAACACATTTCATTACACCAAATACACAAAATAATGTTCTTTTTTTAGCAACGTCAAATGACCCCTTTAAATATATAAAATATATCATTTAATTTACAAGCAGCTTTGCTTGGCAACAAAGTAAACTTCTCCATGTAGGTTCAGAACATCATCTAACAGAAGAGAAAAACAAGTTTAGCCTTTCTTCTACTCATTCGAGATGCTTGGGTCACGCACATGATGCTCGCCAGAGGTAGGTCAGAGCGTTCGATCTGGTGAGAGGATTTCAAAAGCGTGGGACCCCACCCCACGGCTCCAGCGGAAGAGTCTGCACTGATGTAAGACAAACCTGTCTCCTCTTTGCCTTTGTTTTCACTCAGGCCCGACGATTCTGCAAAGCATTCTTAAACGAGATAGGATCACACACACACTTAGGGTCTAATGATAAGCAGCTGCTGCTTAAGTGATTTCAGCGCTTGTGTTTTAAAAACATGGTCAACTCCAATGTAATCCACCGTTCCACGCTCTTGGAAGAGCATAGTTGCACTGAAAACCTGGACAAGAGAGAAAACGGAGAGACTTTGAATGGCTGTCGTGTGTTCGAAATTGTTCCCAGTGACCTGACGATTAGTTCTTGCACTAACCCTGATAGAACATCGCATTATGACTGACAGACATGAAGAGCTTAGCGAAGACGACAGAAAAAGCATAACTTAAGGAGGAGGGTCAAATGTGAAGCTGGATTACAAAGTCATGACTGAAACAGTGATCACATCAAAGTAGGCTTTGCGCGGAAATTTGATGCTACGTGACAATGTGAGGTTTTGTTCTAGGAGAAGTTCTCCATGAAAGGAATCCAGATTAACTGGCCACACATCAGTATCATTTAAAATCAAAATTCACCCAGGACAGCGAACGGTTGGAGGACACAGTCTCAGAAAACAACATGTCTTTTTCCTTTCTCCACAGCTGAAGAACTTACAAAATGTAGGTTGATGAATTTGATTAGCGGTCGAGAATGGGACAACTCTGTAATGCTAAGTAGCCTCAACTGGAACACCCAGTTTATGGTAAATTAGGCATTTAAACGTTTCCCCTCCTCCTCTTTTGATAAAATTGGCAGATAAATCTGTATCAAGTTTGTTGAGTGAGAAAGGACGCATTTTTATGCAAGGGTGTCTGTACAGCATCTGGGTTTATTAGCAGTGTAGGTCCTGACACACTCCTCTGAGGTTTTAAGTCTGTCTGTCAGGAGTTTGGCTTAACAATCCAAAGAGTTAGAGTTTTGTTTTCACATGAAACACAAAGCCAACACCTCAGGCTTTTCACTTAACCTCAAAGGTCCAGAGTGTCTCAGGCCTGGCGCAAATGTTAAAATAAGGTTATAAAATACAGGGCATGGAAGGAAAGCGATACACAATTCCAATAGGACTATTATATTGCTCTTTGCAGACAAATATAAGAATTTCGTTTTTCTATTTTGCTATTGTTTCTAGGCATGGGTGACATCCAACAGCTAACTAGTCAGTTGATGAAATCGTATAAACGTCCTCCTGTGTTTATTTAGAGAAATCACATACACATAGACAACACATCAACACAATGTTGCAACGTAGATGATACAACTAGAACTGCTGGATGCTGTTGTTTTGGCACATTACATTTTTATATGGCACCATGTTCTCCTTGTGTGTCTGAATGACTAGTTGATTTTGGAAATGTGTAGTTTTGCACATCCCTAATTTTTGCTTTCACAATGCAATGTAAGTTTGCGAAGAGTGCTGTTTTAAGGCACTCACATGATCTAAGTACACTCTTAAAAATAAAGGTGCTTCAAAAGGTTCTTCAAGCGATGCCATAGAAGAACCATTTTTGGTTCCACAAAGAACCATTCAGTCAAAGGTTCTTTAAAGAACCATCTCTTTCTTACCTTTTTGTAATCTGAAGAACCTTCTTTCGCCACAAAGAACCTATTGTCAAACAGAAAGGTTCTTCAGATGTTAAAGGTTCTTTATGGAACCATTTAGACAAAAAGGTTATTCTATGGCATCGTGAAGCACCTTTATTTTTAAGAGTGTATGTCAGAAAGCCTTTAAACCACTAATGGCACATGGAAAATGCTGGGGGAAAAGGTCAATATGCAAAGTCATAACTTTCCAAATTAACAGATTTGTCAGTTCACTCAAAACAAATTTACAAGCTACAATAAGCGTTTTGCACATCAAATACATGGCAGTATTCCTTCACTTAAAGTATTCACAGTACGTGACCACATAAATTGATTTTTACAGAGCTAAGCTCTCACTCAAATCCATGCTAAACCAGCATGTCTGTGCATTAGCATCTACAAAATAGGCAGTGTGTGTGTATGTGAGAGGGAAAGTGTAGGATCTTACTGGAGCACATGTTGATCTCTGTCCCACGCACACCATAGTAGCCTGACGGACAGGCATGGAGACACTCGCCATACTGCCTCATCCTCTCCCTCCTCAGGAACAGGAAGAGCTTGGGTTGGCAGTTCATACACCCGTTGTCCTTGGAACACACCGAGCAGCCTTTACAGATGGGATAAGCTCCATAGGTAGCTGCAATGAAGCAAGACACAAAACAGATACTTTTACCAGCTAATAACACCAAGTAACATCTTGACTTGCCAACATTCTTAATTACTTTACCACATGTCACTTGCTATTTCAGTGAAACATTGGTGATAATTGATCACAAAGTAAAAATAAAATACTGCATTCAGCTATTTATGTGCATATACTGTAAAAGAAATGAAGTGCTAAAATGCATTTAAGATGCAAGTTTACTGACTTCATTGCATTTGTTGTAAAATATATGCATTTTAATAACTTACAGTAGAAACTGTCAGATTGTCTGTATTTGCCCTTGCATGCAATCTGTTTTCCATTCTAATATGCAATAGTTAAACACTGACACTTGTGCAAATGTGTATTGAATAGTAAACCAATACAAATGCAAAAAAAAATTCTGAAGCTTTCCTAAGAGTTTGGTGGAAGATGCTGAAATACATGAAGACTGCATCCCATATGAATTTAATATTAAATGCTAGTTTGTTTGCTTAAATACAGGACTACTGGCAACTCTAATCTTGACCTACTGTAGTAAGGATACACAGAATGTACAACGCAAAAGCACATTTTTACCCAAAACAACTTACTGTACACTTTCACTTACTGAGGTTAAGTGCCTCGCTCAAGGGAACATGGTGATAGCTCATGACTTGTGTCTTGCAACCGAACCAGCAACGTTAAGTTGTAAACCACTACACCACAGAGCAAGCTAACTGCAAAGTGCTTTGTTGAACGGTTAAATGTGTGCCACTATAGAACTGTCACAGACATTTTCATTGACACATAAAACTTTCACTGACTAAAGAAACTGTCATTACTGTGACACTAGCGAGGCCTGACGTTTTTGCAGAGGAAACCATTTTCAATGTGAGCAGCACAGTGATATGATTCAATGCTCAACTCCTGTATGTAGAGTTCAGACAGCCGCTGAAAGCCCAAAACCGCATTGACTCTGAGCAGGATCATGTTGCTGGTAGAAGACAAAAGAGCCAGTAACGACCATACTGTTTCACAATAAAGGTCTCTTAATGTAAGTTCCTTAGCGTCCTCTTTACAGGAAAATGTCCTTGGGCGCACACAATAGCTGCAAACCAGAGACATTGCTATTGATTGAAGCCAAGTTTTAAATATCACAAACCGAGATAGAGTAACAGTCCGAACTGGACGACCCACCACAATGCTTTATAAAATATCATGCACTTCGCTGACCTTTTCCCCCATTCCCTTTTTTCCCATAATTTTTTCTTCAGGCTGAATAAATAATTGAGCATGCAATTTCAGCATGGCTTCTAAAAAAAATATTTTTTCATGTAATAAGTGCCATTTATAAACATTTTCCACAAAATTACACAAGAGAAATCTTCGAGAGAGATGGACAAACCACACAAGAGGAGTAAAGGTTTGCTATTTAACACAATTCTTAACATTCTCATCTTTATCATTGTGTCTCAATTCGCTTCTTAACTGAGCAATTTCTAGTCAATATCTCGTTGTCCTAAAAAGTTTGCTCAATGGAAATTCCCAGAATGCACCTTAAAATCAGTAAGCACTGGCAGCTCCCTGTTCCCTTAATGCAAATATTGTCGTGTTTATGTCAATGTTCAGGTGAACGAGGTCCTTCCTAGTGCTCAAAACTGTATTAATGATATACTTGGGGGCGAAATGAGACACAACCTCGTGCTTTAATGCTAATGTACCATTTCAAATTTTCAAATTCGATAAAGGCCTGAAAATGTTACTTAAAAACAACTGACTGCTTGAGAGCAGAGCCCTAAATATTTTCTGTTTTATACAATATACAATTACTTTTTTATCTGTTGTAGTGGAGGTAGTTCTTTAAAAAAATCAGTGATGTCAAATTATAAAAATACGTTTGTAATCATCAGACAACATTTATGTTATTTATATCCCACACAGGCAGTACTGTGCTATACACACAGTCAAATTTACATTGTAACAATGTAATGTTGCCAATCATCTGGTCTGCAAAAAAAGTCCAAGAATTGATTAGGATGTCTACATCAAGAGGAAATACGTACAGTATTTTTTTTTTGTATGTAGAGTATCATGCTGTTTTCATGGTAACAAAAAATAGACAACTTTATTGTGTAGCTTGTTTCATGCCACGTGACCTCAGTGTTTTTGTGATGAGGAAATGAGCTGGACACATTTTTTCCCAAACCACACGTAAAGACATATGGTATACAGTTTGAACATGTTTATAGAAACCTGACATTCACCGTAAATTGGTAAAAATCTCCTCGACTCAGCCCACACATTTCAGACCTGATTGCGATCGTAGTGCAGAGAACGGGCAGAAACTGGGACTGGCGTGAGGTTGGAACATCAAAAAGCTGAGAACTATCAGAGTGTTTCCCTTATTGAATTTCCCTAATTGAGGGTGGTATGGCAATATCACAAACCGTTTCCCCTGTTCCTTAATCATAGGGGTGTTATTTCTTTCATCCCACTGTTAGAGCTGTTTCAGCAAAGTCTTGCGGCAGTTAAATGATTTCTTTAACTGCTGCTGTCAACATGAGTTTGAACAACATTATCGACCTTGAATGATCGAATCAGCGCATCGATCGCCCGGCACGATCATGCCGTTTCCCTCGTTGCCTTGCGTTTGGTTGTTATCAACTATATTGCATGACATTCAGACCTGTATTGATGGGATTGTGCTCTCACTGGTCTAGCAATTATCAATGGAAAGAATAAGAGACGTAAGACGTTTTTTACCTCATTCGAGATTTTTGGATCAGCAGCATGTCTGAGGACGGCTTTCCCAGATCTGACCACAGGCATGTCAAAAAGGAGGCTGGGATCTAGTGCGTCTAGGGCAAGGGTGTCCAAGAGCCACCCTTGAGGGCCCAGTGCTTCCACATTTTACGGAAATCTTTTTACCGCCAGCTGATTTATACCTGAAGCTATGACTGGAGTCTTCCATTCCGCATCGTATTTTCGTCAATTCATGGAGGGGATCAAATTCAAGCTCTAAGCCAGAAAATTTGATGGCTTTCCAATATCACTGTCAAATCAGGTTTTAAAGAGACACTGGGTCCCAAGAGGGGAAACAAACAAGAAATAGTGCCTCAGTCGGACCCTATTCATATTCTGCATTCAACTCTATTTATGCTTAAACTTGAGCTAAATAGTTAAAGTTATGCCAAAATTATTATGTCGCATTTATGCACCTTATTTGTGCAGCAATTTGCCCCGTCGTCGTTTAAATGAAAAAAGTCATGCAAGAAAAACCGAACGATCCAAGTGGCTTTCATACATGTAAACAACATCTCCGGCTATGTTTTTAAGTTACTCTAGAATACTAATTATCTAAGTGTGTCGGTCTGGCAGAATTTTGAGTTCTATGTAAATTACAGTGGATAAGCCAAATTTGGCTGCTAAGAGTGCTTTTTGTTCCAAGAATCAAACCAGCATGAGCTTTAAACTTTACCATAAGTCTGTCATGTTAACCTGCTGAAGTGTAACTTACACTGGCAAGCATGTATTATGGAACTAAAGAAGAATTATTTCTTGTTGATTTTTTTTAAAAGAAAGAGGATCACATTTCTTGTTATAGCATAGCACAAATCCACCCCTAAATTCAGGCTTGCACTCATAGTCTCGATTTCTCACCCAAATTTCAATTTGTGTATCATTATTAATAATCAAATTAAAGGAAAGGATAATATCCCTTCAGCAAACTAATACAAACAGACGTTAAAGGAATACTTCACTCAAAAATGAAATTTCTGTACGCCTTTCTTTCACAACATTGGACCTCACTGAATTTTAATGTACGCACAAAAAAATGCAGAGACATTTTTCAAAATATCTCCATTTGTGTTCGAGGAACAAAAGTCATACAAGTTTCAAACAATGAGGGTAAATCAAAAATGTTTAGGTGAACTATTCATTTACGTAAACTGTTGATACGCGTATTAGATGTGCACATCAATGGCAGACAATTTACTGAACTTAATATACACAATTAATCATTATAGGTCAAGGCAAATTAAAGCACATTTTCAATATACGTAAAAAATAAAAGAATCAAAATCACAACTTGTGAAGAAAACAACAACAGTTAACATACTTTGCTGAAACTGATGCATGCAATTATTAATAATAATAATGCTGAAATACAAATTCTGCAGCAAGAACTTTCTTCATTTAACTGGAGCATTTGTCAACCTCTGTTGCAAGTGCATGTAGGTACAGTAATATGAGATGGCCTGTGTAACACATTGTATATTATAATGGATTATTACATTTCATAATCGATGTAATTATGTAGCTTTACATCCATATTCAGTAAGAAAATGGGTTGCAAATGCATTTTGACCTGACAACCTGTGCACTCTTTGAACTGCCCTTTCCCTACTTTTCTCTCTCATCTATAATCGGCACATCACTGTTGACATCAGCTCTCAGGAACATCAAATGACAGGTAAGGCATCCATCTGCTGACAAATATTCATCTGCGGACAATAGTGCAATGAAATGTAACTTAAAAGGAGTGAAATATCTGTCCAACAATAATCTGTGCTAGTTTCACTGTGCCCAGTTTCTGTGGGGAGACTGTGGTTTATTCAGGTAAACGCAAAATTCTTGGGCCTTCATTCATGCGAATCACAAGCTCATAACACAACATATGACGGCATTGTTAGAGTGTGTTGCCTTCATTCAGCTTTGGCTGGCTTTGTTTTGAATCCTGATCAACAGTAATTACAGTGTGAGTGAGATCCAACAGAAAAAAAGAAAAAAAAACTCTCTAAGGTATGTTTAAAGACTCTCAAACAACCGTGACGTTCATCGCCTTGGGCCAGCAGAGCTGGGAAGAAATGGCAAACCCCCACCTCAGACAAACACTGCCAACAACTTCCAGTGATCTCTCTTTCTCACACTAACAAATGCCTATGACAGCATCCCATGACATCATCCCCTGTCCCTACAATCTCGATGATATCATGCGTCATATGATATGT